AAGGAGGATGTAGATCCTAAGTTAAAAACACTAGTTATCCAAGTGAATTTTACCAGAGGTACTCAAGACACTATTGTAGAGGTACATTTCTGGAATTTTGGAGTTTTGTTTATCGACTTATAGGGTTTCTAACATTGAAAAACTTGGTTTTTAAGGCATTTTTCAGTATTTTCCCTATAACTCGACCAAGAAAGGTCTCAAAACAATTTCCCACAAATTTACGTCTGTGGAATGCCCTTGAGTACCGAGGGTAAAATGTTTAACTCGATCGGATGCAATTTAATGCGAGTCATAATACGGCACAATCAAAAACTGACGAACAACCGTAGTTGAAAACTTGAAACAAAAACCAAAAAGTGCTCTATTGAGTTTCCAATCAGTTCTGAAAGTACAAAGCCGCTTTAGTTTTTATTGTACAGCATTTCTACGCAAAGCCCCAAAAGAGGGAAGGTGTACCCTTAAGAAGGCTCTTTGATCAAACGCTGCTGGAATACCAGTCCACTTTGTCCAAAAAGGAGTAAAAGGAGATCAAAGCAGGAGAAAATTTTATTTTGGAGGAATTAGGAGGAAAGGAGTACGATGCCAGGGTTAATCACATAATGAACGGGTTTATCACTCATGGTAGACGTAGATGATATTTTTTATAAATGATTACTGTAATGAGCAAGGTTTACTAAGCCATATGCAAACTGTGCATAAGCCAAAAACAGCAACGACGCCGAAATCTCAGACAAATGGAGAACAAAGACATCATGAATATAACATGTCTGAACAAGATGAACAACAAATGGATAGAAGTACATCAACCATTGGTGCAGATGAACAAAAACCCGCTATATCATCCACTAATGGCTCTGTGAATTAGAGATGGGCCGTAATACGTAAACCTCGAAAGAAAGGAACGAACGATTATTCGTTATTCACTATAGCAAACTATGTTTCATTTATAACGAGTTTCTCTTATATACTTTGAACGAAGAAACGTAAGGGCCAATAGGGAGGAAAGAACAGTAGACGATAATTGAATATAGCAACTTTATTCAGCAACAAAAACAGAGTAAAAAGAGAATGTGTACTAGAGAATTATTCAAACCCAATTCATATTTTTATTTAAAAACAATAGTGTGTCTTTTTGGTTTTTGTATTCATTCACAGTGTGAATGAATATAATACATTAATATTAAATAATGATAAGTCAAATAAATGTCCTAAATGTGAAAAACAAGCATGTGTATTTAATCCACAAAAGTTATACAGTCATTTAAATATACGCATAAACTAAATGTGTTCATATATTGTTGTGATAGATAAGATGACGAATCTTGTAGAATTCGATAATCATAAAAAGGAGACGAAGAAAGGCAATTTAGATAATGTTTTTGTCTGCCCACACTCATCGAGTGTAAAATTCCGGTTTGATTGTTTAAAACATATAATCAAAGTAACAGTATGACCGAAAATAGGTCACCGCATACAACCACAGTACCATTCTTGCTTTCTAATTTAGAATGTATTATAGAAGTTAATAATGCGACCAAGAATAAATGTCCTAATACTGATTGTAGACGTAGTTCACATACAAAGCTTGCTATAGGTTTATACCTCATAGCATTGGAATGCTAACATGATCCAAATGATGTTTATATTCGATATTATGATACAATGAACGATATGAATATGGAAGGGTTTGAACAACATCAAAAGTGGCATATGGTTGCTATTAGAAGATTAATCATAATTAACTATATAACCCTATAAGTCGATAAACAAAACTCCAAAATTCCAGAAATGTACCTCTACAATAGTGTCTTGAGTACCTCTGGTAAAATTCACTTGGATAACTAGTGTTTTTAACTTAGGATCTACATCCTCCTT